AGTTAGAAGCATGAAATTGCCCAAAATGTCTTGTTCATTTCACTGGAACTAAGGGGCTAAGGCTAAGCCCCAAAGTGAAAAACAACACTGCACTATACATGTACTGTATTGCTTCCTCCACCAAACTTTTGACTGGCAACCATCTATTTTTTTGAATATGGCAATAATCTATAATTGGACAGATCAAATCTTTTTTAGGCTCTAAAAGCATATGATTGGCTTCTGTCTTTCACGTGATGAACGAATGACTCAAGCACGATAGAAGACTCAAAAAGGAATTCACTGAGCTTCTGAGAGAGACCTAAACTTTCATATCTAAGTACTGAGGAAGCAATTTGCATTCCCCTGTGCTTGATTTTATACAACTCTGCCATGGAAGTGATTGGATTGACTTGGAGGAATGTCCATATATTTTGCCAATATATACCATATTTTCCAGTTGTATGTTGATAAGTTGCAAAATCAAACGTAAAAAATGTAAATCTTGTTTATTACTGACAGTAAATTCAAGAAACTTGCACAAAAATACTACATTGTCACAATGTCATAAAAGGTGAACATGTGCTCAAATCTTCAAGGGGGAAAATAAAGTCAAGCACAGAAAGGCATGGTTTCATGCAAATCGGATCTCATCTAATGGATTTGAGTAAAACAACTCTCAAAGACCTCGCATGCAAAGATGAACGGATCATATGTATGACACGCAGCAAGGGGTGAAATAATGAGAGCAGTATCCTGGGATTATGACAGTGACTGCCATCCATCAGTATAAAGCTCTGTCAGAGGACAGGCGGAGGGGAGCGTGATGTGCTGACTCCAGACACTCACTCACTCCAGGTTAATTGAAGATCACCCTTTTGATTGGTCAGTGATGGAACTCATTAGCATAGGTGAGAAGGTCAGTCTGCTTTGCATTTTAGCTCATTTTTACTGCTCTTAATAGAATCAGGCTCGCGGAGACAATTAAATGCAGAAAGGTCGGTCGACAGATTGTCAGTGCAAGTCCACTTGCATTACCGCACAAGTATTGTTGGTTCTCTACCACTATATCCCTGGATTTTATCTGCTATCTGGATGATTTACAGATAATATAGTGTGCCATGTCAAATTAATTTCTGGGGTCCCCAAGATATTTCTGTGAAGTTTCAGCTTGAAATACTCCACAGACCTCCTATTATAGTTTGTCAAATTTGCCTCTATTTGAGTTTGAGCAAACACATGTTGTAAGCGTGTGTGTTTCTCTTTAAACGCAAATGAGCTGCTGCTTTCCAGAAGAAGGCCAGGCCTTTTCATGCTATTCTGACACTCCAGAAACAACAAAACAAGTGAATCCCACAAAGCCAAAACTAGATACTACTCACACTTCACAAACCGCTTCTGAACTTCACATCACTCAGGCTAATGGCAGGGCAGAGCAGCCGATTCAAATGTTATTACTCAATTTAATGGGCATTACAGTGGCCATCAGCTGATAGATATGGGTTAGTAGGGGTCTTCTGTGCCTTCTTCTGTCATAATCTACCCACATGGTTAATCTGCTATAGATCACATATGGCTGTGTGGAAATTAACAAGATTTATTTATTTTATTTATTAAATTTCATATTAATTTCATTTTGTTAACGTCTATCCCTACCCCAAACCTAAACCCAACCGTCACAGTAATGTAAAAACAGATCTGGATCTGGAGTAATCACTATAGCTGATTAACCATGTGGATGGATGATAACATAGGCTACTGAAGGCCACTACTAGCCCATACTGATCAGCTGATAACCACTGATAACACCCATTCAATCAAGTGATAACATTCAAAACAAGTGAAGAGATCCTGTATGCAGCCAAAGTCAGGAATCAAGACACCAAAAGAGGAACAACAGCACAAAAAAGCCACCCATGTTTAAGATTATTTGATGTCCCCTGTTTTGTGTTACGAGCAAGCATTTAAATGACTGTATTGTTGTTAATATAAGACGACCCCTCATTTCATAATGTACCTTTCGGAAAAAGAAAATGCTTTTTAAAGACCAATTCTTGTTCTTTTTTTGAAAATGCATACATTTTATAACACTTCATGTGGCAAACCGATATAATGTATAATCTACAGTACAGCACATATTGATAATAACAGGTAATAAAAGATAACATGGTTGATGTTTCTTTACTTTTACTCTCTTTTATGCAGAACAGTATAAAATAAATCATTATATACTCCTAGCTAGATTATTTTTGTAACCACAAAATAAACATAATACATGACTACACTTTCAAATTAGTCACTTTGTTTGACTGCTAATTAAATTTTCCACATTCAAACGTTGCGAGACAGAGATCAAGGTGTCATATTGCAACTTAAAAGCGTAAATTAACAACAACAAAAACACCTGTGAATAAGAGTACTTGTGTTACAATGCACATTCATGCAAATGTTAATCACATTTCACATGTTGTTCATGTTGTGATCACCAGAATTTTAATTCTTAAACAATAAAAAGGCCTAAATGAATGAACAAATGTAAACTATTAAACCAGTGTACAAACTTATAAGCTTAAAATGTACAATGCCTTTTTGTAACATATAGACTGCAATACAATGTAAGTAAACTTTATTTATCTTTAATATTTTGTATTGCTATTTTTTATCTTTTTATTTATGACATAACATTTTTTTTTTTATGCCGGCTTGAATAAAAGCAGTTTAAAATTTTTTTTAAACATTTTAAGGTCAAAATTATTAGCCCAGTTAAGCTGTATTTTTTTTCGATAGTTTATAGAACAATCAACCGTTATACAATAACTTGTCTAATTACCTTAACCTGCCCAGTTAACCAAATTATCCTAGTTAAGCCTTTAAATGTCACTATAAGCTGTATAGAAGTTTCTTAAAAAATATCTAGTCAAATATTATTTACTGTCATTATGGTAAAGATAAAAGAAATCAGTTATTAGAATTGAGTTATTAAAACTATTATTTTCAGAAATGTGTTGAAAAAATCTTCTCTTTGTTAAATGAAAATTGGGGAAAAAATAAACAGGGGGCTAATATTTCAGGGGGTTTAATAATCTGTTTAATCTGAGTTCAACGGTATACATATACATTTGCATAAAATATACATAAAACATTAAATGTAAGTCATGTTTAATTAGTAAACTATTCAACTTTAGCAAAAATTACCAACGTATTGTTGAAATAAATTCCAAACATTCTGTATAAGAAATGTAATTATAAAAAATGTAACAAAATACATACTCTTCTGACACAATTGTTAAAACATATAAAAGTGACTGATCTTACTAAACTATAGACTACTTTTGACATTTAAAGGATAGTGGCAAAATCTTACTAATTTAAATTGAAAATTACTTATTTTGAAGGCTTTAAGTACTATTTAAGGCTTTAAATAGAGCTTTTTGGCATGTTATCAAATCATTCAAAGCCTGACAAGATGTTTTGATATAAACTATTGTTAAACAGTAAAAATTCATAACAGTCACCTTTTGCTCAGAAAAAAAAGTTTAAAAATTACATTTCAATTACATTACATTTACAAGATTTTACACCTGGTTTCATACCTAAATCTACATGTATCTGACCAATAAACATTTTGGAAACTATATTTCAATTTAGAAGTCATGCTATAGCAAACCATTAACTAAGGCAATTAGCTCAATAGACTGCTAATTAGCTGCTTATTAATTAATAGTAAGTTAGTTGTTGAGTCAAAGACTATATAATAAAGGGATGGAGGTTGAGTTTAGTTATTGGATAGAATAAGGAATTAAAATAAGATCATACTTTTTATATACTAAAACATTAACATTATAAAGAATCTTAATAGGCAGGTAATAAGCATAGACTGTAAAAGATATGGACGTAGTATCTGTGATGTATTACATAAAACAAATACATTTATAGAGATGGTATACAAGTATATAATTTCACTCACCTGGGAAATGGAGGCCACATGAATGGTTTGTGAGCACAATTAAGTGCACACAGCATGCCATATCATCTGATAATTGTAGGAAATAATTCCAAAATGCATATTAACTGTGTAAAGCTAAAACAAAAAAAAAACATGATGTATATGCAGAGTTCAGCGGCTAATCAGCCGGAATCAGCTGTCACTCAAGTGGCCATGGCCTTAATTATGCAGACAAAATATAACTTAATATAAATGAAACTGATGAGCTATAGAAAAAAATTCACTCCCACCCCCCATAGTTGTCATGAAGGGTAACATTAGCTATAGAAATCAAAATCATTCTTGGTCGCCAGGCTGTAAACACCCTTTTTCTGCTGTAAAGTTGGCCATTTTAACAGTGGAGTCAAAAGAAATCTGCTCTATTATGGAGTCAGGTTTAGTGGAGTTTTAGTGGATAAATTGCAGTTTAAGTTACTTCCGAATTTGCTTCACGAGTGAGAGCGGGAGGTTGCTGCTGGGTAATAAGCCAGTAGTCAACAATGTGAATTGTGACAATATTTAACAACATTTTTTTATTTGTTTAAGTATTACTCGTAGTTGTAGTACCATTTAGAATAACCATGGTCATCTGTGTTTACTTAATACAAAAAGAAATGTTTCTATATACTATTAAACAACGCTTCAAGTTGCAGAGTATGGGGGAGCCCTATTCAGAGCTTTGTAACTAGATACAAAAAGAGAAAAATCCTCCAGTCCAGAGGGGTTTCTGCTGGTTACCAACAGCTACCAGCCTGTTCTCATTATCTCCTAAAAGTTAGGGGGTTTGACTTCCACGGTCCAGCTCCGTGGAAGGTTTTGAATGGATTTTGAGCTGCTGAGACTTATTTATGGCTGTGAAATTTAATAAGCAGAATGTGTGTAATCCTCTTCCCAGCTCAAGCAGTAGGCCTGGGGACTAACATGCACCACAAGGGTACGACAACACACGCTCGGTACACAGATCTGGCCCCATGATCAGAGAAAGGGCAGAGCCTGCTGTCCCAAACAGGGTGGGGGAAGTAGAATACAGCGTTTCGGCTTGGCAGTCGCCAAAGCTGGCAGAGAGCTGAGAAACTTTGTGTTGAGTGGGCCAGACTGAAAGATACGGGCGTCGAAACACAACAACTAGTCGAGACTAGCAGATGCTGGTCCAGAAGGTTACTAACAGGATGAGGACAGTCCACCACGTGGGCCCACAGGGATTAGGAGTCAGTGAGAGGTAAACAGATTAGTCCAGAAAAAGAGCCAGCGTTTTTAACCTCATCACTCCCCTCACACCCAGCAGAGCATCTCCGCACACTTGAGACCAAATCTGTACCCGCCATCTGTCAGGAATACCACCCAAACCTACAGTAGTGCCCACACACGGCCCCGTCCATGGAAGCCCGGACACATAATCGATGGAAATTAACTCTTTCTCCCTCGGACGTCAGATAAGTCAATACGGAATGTCTTTTCTTTTCCAAATGAGCAACGTTACATTCAAAAGGACATAATCTACTGCAACATGCCATTGAAAACAGGATTATTCCTCATTCTGTTCTTGTTTACCCTCCAAGCCACTGGAATCAAAGGTAAGCCAGTGTTTAAATGCAGTTTTACTTAATCGAACTCTTGGAATTCAGCAAAAATAAGCAGGACTAGTGGTAATGCACTGCTTGTGTGATTGCTCACACAATAGCATCTTTCTGCTCTCGGCGGTTGAATGAGCTTTTAAATATTTTAGAAGCCAATTTGCGGGAAACCCAACGATTTTGTAGTATGCAAAACAAAGCCTTGTGACAAATCGTTTGATAACCTTTTTTTTTTGAGGTGCACACGCCATTAGCGATTCCTTTTTGCTGCAATATGTGCGTTTCGCTAGCATTTCATGCGAGTTCTGAATGCCTCCAGTCTGGCTGCATCGTTCAGAAGTGCCATTCATTAGCAGAGAGAAACAAAAGGCATTCTGTTTGTGGCCGTGTGGAACGCTAATCTTTTCTGGCTTGCAGCTTTGCTGTGGGGCCTCGCTCGTCGCTTCAGAAGTACAGCTCAATTAGCATCGCCGCCCCTCATGTCTGCACATGTGCTCCGCAGCCTCACAAACACATGATCAAATGGCTCGCCCTGGTCTATCATTGAGAAATTGCACCAGTGGCCCTGCATCTGCTCATCTGCTAATTAACAGATGTGGTCAGATGTTCTCTGACCCAGAAGCGTATTGTTGAGACCTTTGCATCTCTAAATGATTGGCTCTCTGTCTTCTGCTGTGACTATCTTCTAATAGGGCCATACGTGACACTTGAACAGGACATCTTTTGTGTTTGATCATAATAATTAGACTGAAGGACCAATCTGATCTGACACCAAGACTTCTGATGAATCATGATTGTTACCAATTCAGTCAAGAAGAAGTCTCAAAAAATGTACAAGTCTGATATCATTATAGGGTCACTAAAGGTGTAGGTTGTGCAAAGATTAAGCAACAAACTAAATATGCAAACGTATACTTTGATATACTTTATTTACTTCTTATAAATACACTTAAAGATAAATTTAAGCAGAGTGTAACTGACATATACTAGCTGAAAATAATATTTTGCCAATACTTGTAGTCTTTTATTGAGATATATTCCTAATACACCAATTGTGTTTATTCTTTAAAATGAGCAGCCTGTAAAATATTGTATTAAATAGTTTCACATACAGTCTTACTAACTTGAGTAAATATAAGTTTATACTAACAAAACTCTACTTAAAGGGATAGTTCACCCAAAAATTTATATTCGGTCATCATTTAATCAGCCTTGGGTTTTTTGTTGTTCTGTCAAACACACAAGAATATATACTAAAGAATGTTGAAAGCATGTTACTATTGATTTCCATAGTTTTTGTTTTTCCTACTATAGATGTCAATGGTTACTGATTTCTAGCATTCTTTAAAATATTGTCTTTTGTTTTTCACAAAATAAATGAACTATCCCTTTAAAGTGTATAAACATAGATCCAATTAAGCATAAAAAGGCATAAAATGGCTCAATAATTACCTAAAATTACTAAATAAGGAACATAGCAATATAAAGTCCAAAAATGATATACTATAAGTATTGTTAAGCTTACTTTATGACTACAAACTTTCTTATGGCTACCGACTTTCTAATGTGCTATGCCTATTTAAACTATAATTTTACTTATAGCTTAACATGATATACAGTATCAATGAAAAATTGTGCAGTTGTTCTAAGGTGTGCAATTATTTTAGATAAATGCACAGCTAAAGTGGTTACAAGCAGATCTTGACCACTTTATAGTTTCATATCACTATAATGAAGGGTTTCAGTTATTCCATAGCCTGTATCAGTCAGAAATCAAAAATCTAATAAAGAAAGCAAAGTTTCAATGGGATAGGAGAGAAACTACTGTTGTACTACACAGGGCTGGAGCAGACAAAAGTTTTAAAATGATTCCTTATTTATTCCTGTTTATGTAAAGCACTTTGAATTGCCACTGTATGGAATGTGCTATATAAATAAACTTGCCTTGCCTTAAAATGCAACGACTGAAGTCATTATGGCATAATAACTCAAGATCCATACAAAGTATCTTTGAAAATACCTAAAATTTACTGAAGTGCAGTACACTTTATGAAATTATCTTTTTATACAATGAAATGCATGTGTTTTTATGTATAAGTTTATTGAAAACATACATCTATTTTTGCCAAAACTTGCAAGGCTTGCAGAACAGATGAACGCTAACAGCATTATATTATGCTTTTTCATGATTTTCTATCTTTTTTTATGATTACAGACAGTTTATTGATTAAAAGTGACATTTTTGCTTCAGCAAATGCAGTTTTCTATCACATTTGCCTTTGTTAGCTATATAAGTTTATAGGGTGGGACTTTAAAGGTGGTCAAATCTGAACTTCATTACTAAACTACCATTATATTAAACCACCACAACATAAACAGTCCTTTCTCACTTTCTTCTGTTCAGCATTTAATGCCACTCAAAAACTTGCAAGATGATTTGGCACACTGTAAAACTCAATAAGTTAAGGTAATTTAAACCATTTGAGGAAATTGATTGCAACAAACCATTTAAGTTGAAAAACTAATCCTAATGAGTACTGTGAACTTACTCCATGAGTAAACGAAGCCATTTGAGCACAGTAAAACCCATTAAATGAAGAGAACTCAAACCATCTGAGTACTGTAAAACCCAATAAGTTAAGGCAACTCAAACCATCTGAGGAAACCGATCGCTACAAACCCTTTGATGTAAAAAACTTTGTGAACTTAGTCCACTCAAGTTGAAGTAATAAGGTATTTATTTACCTCATTACCTTCAACACTCTTTTTAAAATTAAAATTAACTTTCAGTCAATTTTTAGTTAACTACACGCATTCATTTAATTTAATAAAGTTGACGGTTGGGTTTTACAATGCAGAAATGTTGTTATAACACTTTTTTCTCTCTCCCGTGATAATGAACTGAGACAGAGTAACTGTTTCCAAATCTCCTCAATGCAATTTTGTTTTCGTGCTATCTGAATGCTTTATCCCAGGCTATTTTATGCTAGCTAAGTTCTGGTTTACCCAGTGCTTACGCAATTCCCCAGTAGATAAGCCTGGTCAACAGAGGTTGTTAGCATTTATAACATATATAGCACAAAGGTGTTATGTTACTGCTAGTAAACAAGGAAATCATTTCTTAGGGTTGAACAAGAGAACTGCTTGTTTTAAGAGATTCAGTAAAGCTTTAAACGTTTGGCTTTAAAAGTTACCCTCAGAATGTTAGCATACAGAGCGGTCTGTGTTTACCGCCTTCACTGTAGCTGCACTTATATCGCTAAAGCTAATACTCATCTACTAAATAAGCTCATGCTAATCTGGCGAACAGAGGTCCAGTGAAGTCTGCGGGACCCCCTTACTGAGCCGGGCTTAATGTTTTAAGAAGCTCTCTGAAGTTTACCAGCTGCTCACATAACCCTCCATTTTGTAAACATTTAGCCTATTTTAAAGGAGGCCCTGTACCCTACTTTTTTTGCAAACTTCATGGTACAACATTTGAAGGGTTATGAAGTAGAACTAATAGGATCTCCCAACATTCTCAAGAGATGTGGCTCATATCCTAATTAAAACAATTTATGTTTTATAATCAATCTGTGAATGCAGTATTTAAGAGGAAATTACAAAGATTGCACCAAAACCGCTAAGGAGATATCTGATTAAACTAGGCAAAACGGTTGTCATTTGATGTAAAAACCATCCAGATGTGGTCTGAGATGAGCTATTAACTGTGTAATTGCTCAATGCTTCATTACCAAAGTAGGTAATTAAATGCATCGTTGTGATTTTGCAGTGCATATGTTCACTATGGCAAAGGCATGAAGTGAAGTTAATGAAGTGAGCTTTGCTGTCGTTCGAATATCTGGATCGTCCATCCTGAACTTCACTGGTCTGTAAATAACAGTTTAACACCAGGTGTAAGTCTCATTACACCAAACACATTCTGGTTAACTCTAACAGCTATCTCTGGACACAACTGATTAGGTAACAGGTCAGAAGGTGGGTCACATTGAGTATAAATACTCTTAGATGTCAGGATGGGTTAGTTTTAGGGTCTTTATGGAGTAAGAACTTCCAAGAACTTTCCCTCTAAAGAAAACTTAATCACTAAAATGTAATTAAAATTTTAATTTGAAGGGACAGCTCAAGCAAAAATGTCAATTCTATCAATCATTAAATAACTTTCCTGTCATTAAAGATATATTGTGCGAAGCACGACATGATATGCAAAAACAAAATAAGACACCATTTGGAAAGTTTGTATGTTCAATGTGTAGTTATGTGTTTGAGAGAAAGTTGACAAATTTGGTTTCAGACATTTTTATATTAATGTCTAAACCAAAGGTGCCCAACTATGTGGGCCACAGTTGGCCCATGGGAACCTTTAATCTTTAGCCTGTCATCCCATCTGAGAAGAGAGGGAGAATGATGGAGATAGTTATAGATTATAAATTAAAAATTTTAAATGTAACCTTTTTGTTTGTTTTAATGTTAAGCTACAAATAAATGCTAACTGAAATTAAATGTTTCAAGTTAAATGCTGTAATTTAGTTTAAAATGTACATACTGTAACCCGACAGATAGAGGACAATGCAGAGACTTTGGTGAGGGACTTTTGGCAAAGGCAGATTTGGTTTGACTACTGTATGCCGCAATGAACTGAGTTATAAATGTGATTGTTCATGTTTTATTTGCAATTAATGTTATACTGCATTAGTTAATATGATTCAAAGTAATGTTTTCTATTTATATTTAAGTATTATGAAATAAATTAGGAATTTATGCATGGCAACTTTATGTAAAATAGATTGGTACATTTATCGTCGGCTCACAGCTCTCGATGATATTTGGTTTTTGGCCCTTCATATAAAAGAGATCTAGATAAAACAACACAATACAAAACAATACGGAAGCTTTAAAAAAAAAAAAAAAAAAAAGCTATATTTGGTGGAATATACCTGATTTTCAATCACAATTTTTGTTATTTTAATCAATGGTCAATTTCTAATATTAAAAAGAGC